TTGTGTATTCCCTCAACGATCAAAATAACCAGACCTTACGGCTTGGATTTAAAGACAACCATACACATTCGACGCATCATACTATGAAACTCACCAACAACAGGGTTCAATGCAAGAAAAGTGACATTTACGGAACTGTACAAACGTAAAACACGATTACACAAAATGGAACAGAAGGTGGTTGTCGTTGTAAGAGTGGAACGTGGCATCGACTGCAAAATGGCAAATGCATGAGTTCGATCTAACGGGAGAATCTTCCTCTTTACGGAATTAAGTTACTGTTTAACAGATTCACTGTCAAGCAGCTATTGGATGGAGCAGTATTACAGAAGACTGCCATAAACAGAACAACTGATTCAGTACAAGGTCAGCATAAGGAACAGCGGGTTCACAAACCACAGGATTCCAGAGGAAGAGGCATTTGGACCGGTTTGTGTGTTGGACAATTCGTTCTACCCGGGTGAAGTTTTTGGAAGGGATATGGTACATACAGACCACTTCCTAAATAAACAACAAAAGGACAAATTGCCAAGGAATCGGTCCTTTTTCACTGCTAAGGAAATTTCCATATGTATTCTGCTCAAATAATTAAACTCTAATGTTCCAGAAAGAAACTTTTCCATGTGCCCAAGCGGACGCAGCGCTATTGAAGAAGGCTCCACAGTATGAAGATTTTGAGAATACCACCAACATGCTCCTTTCCGGAGTCGCCTTGCGAGCGATTCGCTTTCCAGGGCGGCATAAGGGCGGATAACTTGTTTAGAAGCCAAACGAACTTATGAGAACCGTCTTCTGGACTTTATTCCAACTGCTACACCTTCGGAGGTTGGTTTGTAATGAAAATCTATCACTAAATTCTCACAAAGAATCTTGAATCACACCTGTGGCACAGTGCTACCAGCGTAATGGTGATACTACTGATGGGGGCATGCGAGTAGTATATTTTCTCGTAAATCCACTTTGCCTCTCTTGAAAAGGGAGATCGATTACGGAACTTGTGGTGTCGCTTAGTAGCATTTCCTTGCAAATGAGTAACAGTCAATGAATATCCAGAGAAGTTCAGAAGACGCGTTCAAAGAGAAGATGGATATTCAGTTTTGTAAACAATATGCATATGAGAGTTTAGCTTCTCTATCCAATAGTCTGTAACTGTTAACTTGGCGTTTGCTAATAAATAACGCCCCGGCGAAGGTTTTCTTCCTTTCACCAGGTCCTCTCAAACAAGATGTCAGACAGAACGGTGACGATTATTTAGTCTGGGAGAAGTGTTCCTGTGAGTTTCAAATACAACTGAGCCCTAAACGGTATCAGACGCCAAACGAAACTCGTTTGCACAAAAATGCAGTTTTCGCCGCTAAGTTTGAAGCGACGGATGCGGAGAGGACAGGCAGATGGAAGTGAAAAAACGGTGTTAAAAATGGGGGTGCTAACCTTGCAGGATGGGTGATCTGGCTTCCCTTGTGCATGGTTAGAAACGCTGCAATATATACGTTGTTGTGAGTTGTTTTCAGAGTGTCTGGAGACGCAGGAAGCTCGGAATTGGTGTGACAAGCGGGTGTTGAGTCGCTTATTCACCCGCCCCTTTATTATTTCTTCACAACAAGGCTTTCAAATACATTAGGATTACACGATAACGAAACATGAGGGGTGAACACCGATGTTGTGTTGTCCATGACGATGATGAGAGCCAAAATTATTATGCCTCGTGTTTGTGAATTCCACGAAGGTCTTTGACCAAAGCGTAGTTCTTCAGTTGGTCTACTGTCCGGAATAATGTTGTTTTAGTCCTGCGCACATACCAGGCTCAAAATCCGTACAATACTGCGGAGAGACTTCGTTGTGAGACACGCTGATCGATATCTCTCTGAAAACCGTCTATGTAAGTGAGGTTCGTCGCTCCGAAAATGAAGTACGAATCCAGTAACGTCTAGATACGGAACGCTTTGTTGCCATTGAGCGCGGGTCCATGATCAGTACGTTGTCTTCTACTCATGACTGCTTTGTTTGCGAATCCAGGGGCAAAATTGCAGTCAACTAACACATCCTTCATCTCCGCGGCATCTCATTTCGGACATATTACAAATGTCTAAAAAAACAAGTATGTTTAACCATACTGTTTTGGGTTTCTACATCGTCTTGACATCTTATGTTTAAATGAACAGTGTGTACACTTGGTCGCGTAATTCTTTCGTGCAATGGACACTCACACGGGACCAGATTTATAAACAATAACATGTGCTTTCAAGCTTTGCACGGCCGAATTTGAAAACTCCTGCAGACTAGAAGTTGAATTCCTTTCAAATTATAGTTGGTAGTGAACGAAAAGAACTCTACTTAAGACGAACCGAACAGCAACAATATCCTAGCTGCCAGCTGACTACAACTTCATTATATTTTGGTGCGTTCTGTCTCGAAAACTATTCGGCATCAGCCCTGTGAAGCAAACTGTTGAACGGCTGTCCTCAGCATTCGCTCTCTTTGTTTTGAATGTCTCCAAACTACAAGACACGGTCAAGCATGATATTCATGAACAATGTACATCTAGCCAAAACATCATAGATCACAACAAGGGGAGATCGGAAACCTTAACGAAATCCACAGTAGTCTTTACATAAGGATCCAATTCTAGGAACAAGAATTAAATGAATGCTTCAACAGACGCACCAAATTCACAGGGCCACGCATGTTTTGAGGATGAAATGAAGGCGTACGTATTTGATACATGAGGGTGTGTGGTGTCAACCCTAGCACTATTGTAGCGGTAAAGTCTAGTTTTGCAACGAAAACTAACAGATACACATGGCTTTGTAGGTTGAAAGTTACGCACTGCGCTTGCTACTCCGGGGTGCGTGATCTCACCTTCTATGAGAACACCAACCCATGACAAAACCTTCCTTACTCTCGTGTTTGTCGCTAGCACGCTTTGTTGGTGGAACAGACACAAGACTTTCTACTACAAATGGCTTGGACCAATAACAGATTCACCATTGAAGACTAACAAGACAGTTCAATGGAACGATACCTCAGTCTGTTTGATACTTTGTTACGTTTGTACAGTAGTGTTCGTGGTACACCAAAGAGCAACGCAAGGAGCTCTCCTAAACCCGCCCTTTGGCAGGTATTTATTGTGCCCATTTTTGACGGTCTATTTCCATTGGGGAATTGGAAAAACTACTTGACTCTGGTTCAGAATGGTTGAGGCCTTATACACCAAGTGACAGTCGGAAATTTTTGGTGTTCCGCTACACCGCACAGAACACAATACACTGATCTGTAGACGTTAGATCCATTATTCTAGGGGTGGAATGTGACGAGCTCCGACAGTCAACCAATTTGCTTCGCAGTAAGCACTGAAAACCTATTTCAAGAATAAGATACGACAGAGAAATGTGGAACTACCATGCTGGCTGGTGTGTCACGTTTTATCTACCGGGACATTTGACAAGCTTGAGTACAGATGTCGGATGTGATCATGGACGAAGAAACCGCCACATAACACCAATACATGACCCTAATTATAACCTATAGAAACAACCTTGACAAAGCGAAATTAATATATGCATATGGATAACAAGTTAAGGGCGCGTATCTCCCAAAACGTATGACGGAACGTACTTGCTCTCCATGGGAGTATTGTTGGTCGTGAATGTCATGGTTGTACGAGGGCTGGGATACTGCCAAGGCGCCCATACCTAGACAGGAGGACGATTAGAGTCCTCAATCAAAGCATTCGGCTCAAAAGCCTAACAGCAAGGCAGTAGCGTTTGGCGAGAAATGCGAATACATTACCATTTCTACGGAACAAGTCGCTACGTGTACCAACCCCCAGCCTGGAGGCCAGACAGTGAAGCATCGGTGTTGAACACTGATCTCAGACTGTCCATGATGATGGTAATGATGTTATCCATAGAAGACGGAGGAATTCTACGCCCGCTGTGCATTGAACCTACGTTATGAAGACTAGTCATATGTGTGACTACGGTTAGCGGTCAGTGGTGTGAAACGGATCAAGGTCAACGCATCCGACGATTTCCTACTTTCCGTCGAACTGTGCAGGATCTACAAGTGCGCAGCTGTTCTCCGAAGCTTACTTATATTTCAGGAACTATGCAAGAAGGCAATCAAAGGGAGAAGTTTGTCCACAAGGGGCACGCAATTTTTCATGCGTAATCCTTGGACCCGAAGGCAATTCATATTAGAAATCGATTAAAACTGACTGAGAGTTTACTCTCATGCATAAGACCTATTAAAAAGGATCTAAAACTGACTGAGAGCTTACTCTCGTGCATAAGACCTATTTAGGAAGTATCTATTTTCACATCTGGGTGTTTGAAAATCAGCGACGTGCATACTGACCTGTTCCGGATAATCCCAAAATGATGTCAGTCTTTTACTGAAATACACTCACTATCGAATTCACACGAAAAAAGGGTTTATTGGAACTCGGGATTGCGTCTGCCTTGGTGACTTCAAGTAGGACTGGTCGTGCGCTATCGAAGACTTTTTAGAAACTATCAGGAAGGTCAGATTCCTGAAAGTAACCTCAGAACGCCCGAAACCTACCGAGACCCTAAAACCCCACCAAAATCTCAGTAAGAAAGCCGGCAAGGGTCCAGGTCAGTCAATCATTCAATCAATTGAACAAAAGCCAATGAGTCCTCATGCACGCCACAGAAGCACGATTGAATGTAATCAGCGTTCAGGCATTTCATGGAGGCACGATCGATGATGACTGGTGTTCACCAACGCCTATCAGACAAACTGGATCAATATCATTGCGCCGTTGTGACTTTTGCTCTCACATTCGCACGCATTCACTCGCTTGTTCGGAATATAGCTGTTGTGTTCCATTCTGTGGGTCTTTTTTTCCGGCACTAGGCACTGGAGCGGGTCAGCAGCAGGTACCACTGATTGGCGAATCAGCAGATATAACAGAAACCCTATGAGTAGTGTGATTCATCAAGAAAAGTACTCTCTTCTTTCCGTTTTTGGTTAGATTACTTGTCTCAAAATATGAATCAATAAGCATAGTTTCTTGTCTTGGAGACATCCCTGTGTTGCATAACAGAAGTAACTCACGAATTATCCAAAAAGTGTTTTATTTGGCCATCATTTCAACTGTGGTCAAGCCCATTTACAAAGGCTGAAAGCGTAAGGGGTATCTTACTCATGATGGTACCTAAACTGAACAAGTTGACCGGGAAGCAATGCTTGGAATATCTCTGAAACTTATTCAGGGGTAAGAATATTGAACAGCAGGATTAGGGGGCTTGGTATACCCAAGATTACTGACTTCAGTGCTCAAAACTGCATTGCGTGCGGTTTGTCATGTTTACTTAGGGAAAATAAGGACCTCAGATATTTTATTAGCATTCGAGAGTCTGCATGTGCTTTGATACATTTACAAACCTCTTCGTCTATGATTCGCTGGTCTTCTTTTCGTTCTTCATTGGGGACAAACCGTTTGCTTTCAACCGAATCAGATGTGCCACTCAGACCCAGTTGAACGTCCAAGTTATGCTTTTTGTCCAACTTCTTCCGAGCAAAGTACTCCTTTGAATGCACACGCAGAGGAACTTTGAACTGTGGAAGACGAGAAAGAAGAATGATGAACGGTGAGGATATTGTGAAAGTTCTAGAAACCTTCAAGCAGAACATCAGGTTGATACAAACTCGGAGACTGTGCCTACCTGACGAGCTCCGAGAAGGGCGAAACCGGTCGTGGGCTGTCGAAGAGTTTTCAGCAAACTTTTCTAGAAATATTGTTTAATTCTTGCTTGAAAATAATCTGTACAAACGACGATTTTTTAGATATGAGGTGTCACACAAATTAAATGACATGTACGCTTCAAGATTATGGATATTAATACTGAGTATTGGAACTTTTCTACCTGGATACCGCGATTTAGCATATTAGCAGGAAATGTGAAAGTATGTCTCACAACAGCTGGTAACCTTCTTAAAAAGATCAAGGTTTCCTGTGAAAGTTTGTCAGCTGCAGTTGAACGAACGTAGAAGACATGTGTTCAACTGATTACCAGTGTGACTACGATTTTCTACACGTCGAGTTGCACAGAGTGCATGTTCGTTCAGAGTCCTAACATTGTATCAAAGACTGTGAAAATTCGAAACTCGGACCGTTTGGATCAACGCGGACACGTCGTTGTGACTGCATAATTGAAACACAGAATCAGCACGTAACCAACAGGTTTTGTTGTCACACCGCGAAAACAACGTGTCACTCACTGTTGAAACCCGCGCGAAAATCAACTGGTGTAGATCCACGTTTGTATATTGATGCAGAACTTCAAGAGTAATCTCTCTACGAGTAAACACTGTCACGTATCACGCGAATTTGGAAAACTTTTCATATTTTTTATACCGTTTAGTTACTTCGCAAAAGGTAAGATGAGTGGAAAAAGTTAAACAGATTTCAAAGATGTGTTAATGCAGACAAATGAAAGCACATGCGATGCGAGCTGGGTGCACCGGATGACGGTTCTTTTTGAGGGAGAGGGTACGCACTGACGAATACACTTATTCCGAACAATTTCCGTTGCTGGTGTTGCTAATTGTTGTTCTCCGTCTTTGAAAGCAGTAATTGCAGTATCCGCACATCAAACGGCTGTCATTGATTAGATCGACCCGGTCAGAACAATGAAGTGTACAGGTTCGTTTTATTTTGAGCATAACTAATTCAGTAAATATCGGCAAGAAAGGCTGTTTGAAACAACGTCTCTCAACTGCAACGGCGCTGAGTAATCAGTGGACAATCCCTTGTTACACACAGACTGCTATGTCTTTTTGGTGGGAAGCACAGTGTGTGAATGATTCTAACATAAAGTGTTGTACAAAAATTGGTGTTACTACATTCTCCGAACTTTCTGGCAACAGAGATTCCGTGCTTATCTCCAGGCGCTTCGGATAATCGCAGTCAAACAAATGCTTGTTCTAACATGAACATCGCCTCAGGTGGAGTCCGAGCTATATGGCAGCACATGTTCGTGGGAACTCAAAATCAGCCAAAATTTCTAATGCTTTGAGGACAACAGCCTTAGTGCCTGAATTTACAGCTTTATTTCTTGAAACCGTAGAAAAACCGGTGTTCCATACTTATTAGGATTCACTAGCAGTGCATACCTTACGAAACTCCAGTAGCCAGTTTCCAACCCGGATGGTAGTTTAAACATTTAACCGTTCGGTCACTATCGGGTGATCCGTAACTTGACGAGCCTAAGCAGAATTGGGCGCTTCTCTTCTTTTTCGGAGTGGGTTGAAGAAGAACGAAAAAACAAGAGGAGAACTTCCATGAGTTATGGGGTTTTTTGCTGACACGCTGGTCTTGTACAAACAATCCAGGCTCCGGTTTACTGACTCACGTGTGACCATTATTCTCTACGATGGCCGTGTTGCTGTAACCAGGATATGATTCACATACCAGCGCGTAGGGTTGACACGTTTCATTTCGCTGTGATACTTGACTTCCTTGTGTGGTCTACTTCGATATGACCGTTATTCAAAGTGGGAAGAGTAGGACGATAGCCCACTCTAAGCGCACCAACCCCCTAAATGTTTACAAAGATGTAACACATGATATGCAGGACATGAGGTTGAGGGAAACTCGGGGACTGCGCCTATCTGATGAGCCCCAAGAAGGGCGAAACAGGTCGTGGGCTGTCGATGGATTTTCAGCAACCTTATGAGTAGTACATTACAAATATACGTGTATCGCGATATTTCAAATATCGTAACGACTGAAACATGAGGCGGCCTGGTGCAGCACATTCAGTTGCCTGAGAACATCATAAACGAGAGATTCAGCTGGGTTCCAGGTGAGTCTCTCGAAAGAACCAAATTAGTTTGCAAATGAGTGTATATTAGCTAATTTCGTGCAATCTGTTTTCAAGTAGAACATAAGGTTGAGGGAAACTCAGGGACTGCGTCTATCTGATGAGCCACAAGGATGGCGAAACCGGCCCTTGGCTGTCGACGAATTTTCAGCAACCTTATGAATAGTACATTACAAAAATATGCATTTTACTTTGGTTTTCTTTACATTTTAAGCTAGTTGTGTCAAATTAGAATTTCGTTGTTTGCAGTGGCGTTTCTGAATTTGAGGAACGCGGACTCCATACATTGGGTTAATAAAAGCGGTTCATGAATTAAAGTGGAAGATACAGTTACAACGCTGTACTCCCGTGAACTGGGTGACTTCTTTGGATACGGGTTGCGTTCAAATGACTTGCCCAAAAACCGGAGACAAGTGACGGATCAAATAACATTCAATATACCATTAGGGAACATATGTGAAACTATATGTATTGGTGGGTATCCAAAAAAGTCTGTAAAGCTGTGCTTTCTTTATGATGCACCCTGAGAGGGGAGAGGCATTTCAAGTGTAAATCCTAGCTGTGTCGGTTACTGGAAGTTTGCTCTTCTGAGTCACATGGTACCGCTATACATTCACAACACGAATGCATACATTCCATTGTTCCGCGGTTCCTCACTATGACAAAACAGTGAATTCAAACAACCATATGTTTTTCCGATGATAGCATTTGATTTGAGTCGGTTAGGCCATCAGTTCGAGAATCATGAGCATCGAAGAACTTCTAGTAACTTTGTAAAATGACCAGGCACTGTTACATTAGAACCTGTTACATTCGAGGTTCAAAATAAGCCCATGCTTCGATTTTCAATACACGCGTATAAACTCCCACAGTTTGTGTGTAATTTATCACTCACGCACCCGATATTCCACCCACGGAACCCGCTCAGACCACGTTCCGTGACGGACGGAAAGTTCTGCCTGTAGCATTCCGACAAATATCCCATGGCTGTTCGACCAATAGATCATAATGTTTGTGAAACCCCGCGAAAATCAATAGGACTCTACCCGCCAGACAAACAGTTTGTTTGTTCATTTGCTACTTTCTTCCACAAGTCGATCGCAGATTAAACTGTGGACATGAAAACAGTCAGGCTCTCCAACTTTTCCAAAACATCTGCCGTACACAAAAGTAGGGAAGAACTGATCTGTTTTTAGCGAAAAAATCAATTGGCTTGACTGGTTGACTGTTGACTGGTGTTCAAGCCATTGGGAACAGCAAACAGCCAACCCATTTCAAAGGGTTTCCATCTCAATCTCTGGTTTTATTTCCTCTCAAGGGTGAATTGGAGTTGTTGCAAGTCTGATGATTAAGGGAACGTTCATGATGAACTTCAAGAGGAATTGGGTATATGAAGATGAAGATAGTAATGACTATATAGGACCCTAAGACATTTAACTTTTAGGCTTACATTTGTAGTTCAGTTGCCCAGACCAGGCTGGTGGATCTCTTTACGCCAAATACAGTAGTAAACTTTGTAACAGGGTTTCTCCTATGCCACCAAGATTGATCATCCATTTGAGCCTAACCACCACGTAGAGCCCACTGTGTAACGGTGTATACTGCTCATGAAATATGCGAGTAGTATGTGATTTCTCGCAAATCCGCTTCAAGTGAGATTTATTACGGAATTTGTGAAGTCATATTGTAGCCTTTGAGTGATAGTCATTGAGTATCCAGGAATGTTCCGGAAGACGCGTTCGAGAAGAAGACAGATACACAGTTTTTACAAACTGTTCAGTTGGTGTTTTCCAATAAATAACTCCGCAGCAAAGGCCTTCCTTTCAACTGTTCGTCTTTTTCAACTTCCAGCTAGTATACGAATAAGTAGTATCACAGTGTGTTCATGCACGAAAAAGCCGGGCCAGTTAATCAGTTCAGTTCTCCGAAAGCCGTGGATCTAAGACGGAAACTTGAGTCAGGTGCAACTGTTGTTTCAATGACACAGTCTGTGAATCCGAAACAAAAACCTGTATAATATAGAATATCTAATCTAACCAGTCAAGTGTAGAATACTCTATCGAGCTGTTTGTAAGCCGAAAAAAGCTTTGAACGGTTATCGCACTTTTACCCATTACAGCTGGATTTGATTAAGTTTCGATCGTCATACCACAGCACATCATCGAAAAATCTGCGATGTCGGTAACCACGGTCACTTTGATCAACAAGCAACCTCTGCTGCTCATCATCATCATCATCACTGTCACCTGTAAGAACCGCGTACTCGTCGTACAGTGGTTGTAGCTGCCGCAGTTTCGTTCACCGGTGATTTGGGGGGAGGGGGATAGGTAGCTGCGCATTGCACGCGCGAGCTGGTAAATTGGTGCATAAATCCAGCACTGTCAGTGGGCTGTCAAATGGAGGGGGGTTGGAAAAGGAGCTATGCATTGAAGGCAATAGCTTGGATGTACGAGCGCCATTGAGGGCACGACTGGGCCATGTCTGAGAATGTCTCCAGCCATTGATGTGGCCCGTCTCGGATCCTCCATCCTGGAAGACGGCAATTACCAGCGCAGCTGGGTTTGCTGGTAATGGCTTCTGTACTTCGCTGCCAAGTCATTGCTTGACCGCTTCCGGATCTCTTCCATCCTTCACGTGGTTGGGCGAAAAGAGCGCTTCGAGGAATTCGGTCGACTGGCATACGCAACACGTGGCCAAGCCAGCGCAACCTGTGCAGTGTGATCAGTTCATCTATCTATCTGCTGCTGCTACACATCAGCGCAGTTTTCAGGATATTTCGGAGTTATTTTGCCATGTCTAATCGAGAACGTACTGAAACTTCAATAACAACTAAAGAGAAGGGAAAACAAATCGTGTGTTCTGTAAATTTAGAACAGTAGTGTCAACGAGACGAATGGTTGTTTCAATCTGCAAGTTGCAATCGCCAAAGGACGTTTTCAGATGAACGCTATTTGCTATGCTCAACAATGCATCAAGCGTATCCGCTGAGCTGACGTGAACTCTGCTCTAAACTTTCGAAAAATTCTTAATGACATTTTCACGTGTAAATAGAGGCGCTGATCTGTATGAGCCTAAAACATCTTTTCGTTTCTCAGAAATACACTCATTTGCAAATTAATTTGGTTTTCACGAGAAACTCAACTGAATCCCTCGTTTATGATATTCCACAACTGAATATGCAGCACACAGGCCGCCTCATGTTTCACTTGGCACGATATTTGAAATATCGCAGTATATTTTCACAAAAGAAATTACTCACAAGGTTGCTGAAAACGTTTCGACAGCCCACGACCGGTTTCGCCCTTCTTGGAGCTCATCAGGTAGGCACAGTCCCCGAGTTTCCGTCAACCTTATGATCT